TTGGGACTTTGGTTTGAAATCGCGAAGCTCTTCACAAATCTCAAATTTTGGTCTTTTTTGTTCTTCTGTTGGATTGGATAAAGTGGAAAGATGGGGAATTTGTTCGTGAAGAAACCAAAGATCACGGAGGTTGATCGAGCGATTCTGTCTCTCAAAACCCAAAGACGCAAACTTGGTCAATATCAGCAACAGGTTTTTGATTCCTTCCCTCGCTTCGTGATGTTTGTACCTGTGAGATTTAAGCGCATCTCTAGGGCTCGAAATGAATGTAATTCTGGAATCTGAGATTGAAAGTAGTTTAATTGATTCACACCATATGTTATGGATGGTAAAGTAGTTTAATCGTGTATAAGAGGTGTATGAAACAATTAAATGATTCTACTTTCTGAGCTTTTGGTTTGTTCAAGATTGGATTAAAATGCCATTGTTGTCAGACAGTTTAATGATGCAATTGAAGTTTCTGATTCATTATAAGTGATGACAGTTTAATTATGTTATCATGGGTTGCTAGATAGTAAGTTTGATCGCTGAGAGAAGGAATGCGTTTGCAGTTTCTTTCTTGTTGTCTTAAGTTTTACCTTCTTTCTCTTAAAACCACTCATTTCTTTTAAGCCTTCGGTTTTTTAGCTTGAGAAAGTAATCGAAGCCGAAAAGCAAGCTGCGAGAGACTTAATCCGCGAGAAGCGAAAAGATAGGGCTTTGTTAGCATTGAAGAAGAAGCGGACGCAAGAAGATTTGTTGAAGCAAGTTGATCAATGGGTCATTAATGTCGAACAACAAGTAAATTTACTTTGACCCCTTCTTCGCATCTCTATAGCATAACCTTGTTGCTATATAAACAGAAGGATTTTTCTCTCCTTTGCTTTAGTCTTTTGACAAGACCTAAATAAACATATTTTCAACCTCAGTTGGCAGATATTGAACTTACAAGCAAGCAGAAAGCAGTCTTTGAGAGCTTAAAGCAAGGTAACAGTGCAATTAAGGCGATTCAGGGCGAGGTTAATCTCGATGATGTTCAAAAACTAATGGACGACACTGCCGAGGCCAAGGCTTATCAGGATGTGAGTTAAAAATAAGCATTGATGTTCCTTTTTGTTTATGCGGGCTGCTTATAGTTATAATATTGTGTCACATTAGCTGGAGCTTATCCTTGTTTGTTTCTTTCGTGGTCTTGAGTATTCTTTTGGATTTATTGAACTGTTAAAACACTTGGGATTTTAGGAGTTGAGTGCCATTTTGGGTGAGAAACTATCAGCAGAAGATGAAGAAGAGATCTTAGCAGAATTCGACAACCTGGAAAGTCAGGTATGTTTGAGTACCATTTACTTTGTTATCTTCTTGAATGGAATCAAATTGCGATACATAATGTTTAATTTGTTTGTTTAAAGCTCATTGTTGAAGATATGCCTGGCGTGCCTACAACAGAGCTCGGACCTGAAGAACCCGAGAAACTTGATCTCCCTGATGTGCCAACAAAAGTACCCGTCGCTTCCAATGCAGAAACCGCTCCAACAAAGAGAAAAGGTTCTTGTTCTTTTTCTCCTTTGTGATGTGTTTTGTACAAGTAACAATTGTTTCATACAAAGAACCTTAAACTCAGACATGCTTTTGTTGTTGCAGTTCTTGAAGAACCTTTGGAAGCTTGATTCAGTAGCAAAAAATCTGATCGACAACATAGTCATGGATTATTATCATTCTTTGCACTCTTTTTTCTTATAGGCTAGTGAAGCTCCTTGTGTATTCTGTTATTGAAGCTCCTTGTGTATTCTGTTTCTTACTCCTGCACCTTGTAAAGAACGAGAGAATCTCCTTGTGTGACAGATTACAAAAAATGGTTCATCTTCTTATGAATTTTAGGCTCAGTGGGAATCTTTGGTTTTTTGATTAAAGTTTATTCTTTTCTGAATGAATTCAAAGCTACAAATTCTTCTAGTATAAGAATTCAGTGTCATTAACATTTTGAATCAAATTCTAAATTGAATTTAAACCAAACCAGATTAAAGTCATTAAACTGATGAAATTATATTTGGCTATAGTTTTGTTCTAATTGAATTACCCAATTAAAAAAAAAAAAAAAACCAGATACGGAAATGAGGTAATA